CTGTGGGAGAAGCTGCAGCGGTAAAGCCAACCTTCTCAGACGTACAGTATGAGAAACTCACATGGGGGCGATGCCATATTCGTGCTCCGTCTGCAGGAGGAGGTTTGGCAATGAATCCCGTGAAATAATTCACGCTGGAGAAAAATGCTACATCTGTTCAGACTTTGGGAAGAACTTTAAGCACAGAACAAGTTACACTGAAAAATCCGCACCCGGGAAAAGCTGTAAATGTGCTTTGTCTGCGTAGGAAGTTCAGCCGTAAATAACTTCTGGAAGAATCCACATAAGGGAGAAACCGTATTCGTATGGGGATTGCGGGAAAAGGTTCAAGGAAAAATCAAATCTTATGTCCCATGGTGGCCTCCCTCCTTCACGGGAGAGAAATCACATATGTTCCGTCTATGAGAAACGTTATCAAACCTCATGAATCACGAGAGAATCCACATGGAAGAAAACCCACAGAGGTGTCCGGCTTGTGGGAAAAGTTTCTGGACCAAAGCATACCTGAGGATAAATGGAAAAAAAAAAAATTCAGGTGAGATGAAAGAGTCTTTATGTTAACGACAAAGTTAAACTCAAAGTTACAAGGGCCCTGACAAAAGTGACTTTCACACAACTATTGCAACATCCTTATGGTCACATGATCAAAATTCATACACTTGGCCACTGACCGTTGCTGTGCTTCAGGGTCATATGATCCTCTTTTGTGACCTTCTGACAAGCAAAGTCAATGGGGAAGCCAGATTCACTTAACCACCGTGTTACTATTTTAACAACTGCAGTGATTCACTTAACAAATGTGGCAAGAACGGTCGTAAAACCGGGCAAAATTCACTTTAACAAATGGCTCACTTAGCAACAGTAGTACTGTTGTGGCCCGCCAGCGGCCTGCACGGATTGTTGCTGATCCCGACGACGAGGAGCCTGGTGTGGTGCTGCGCCAGCAGCCTGTGAAACCGGTGCTTGAGTCGGACAGCGAGGAGGTTGAAGATGTGGTGCCAGAGGCAGGGATTCAGTCAGGGCCTTCAGAACCTCCAGAGGCTCCTTTAAGTGAAGAGGATGAAGAGGAGGAGCCTCTTCTCAATGCACGGGCATGCAGAGCTGCCAAAAGGCAGGAGTGGTTCCTCAGGAGGTCTCCTCGAGAGTAAGGCTTGGGGCTAATTGGCCACGCCTTTAGCCTGTTTAAGAAAGAACGTAGCTTGTAACAAGCTGCAGGAAACAACTTTAGTTCGCTAATCATCGCGTTGGGATTTCTCTGCAACCTTGCTTCTGGGCTTTCTGCCAACTCCAGTAAGACTCTGACTATCTTATCTGTGGAATTCTGGCAGGCTGTTAAGAATGCTTATTAACAGCCGGTATTTGCTAAAACTGTGTTATTTGAGTAAACTAAGTTTTGTTCAGAGTTTGTGTGTGCTGTGTTCTTTGGAATCCGTAGCTGGGGCAGAACAAGTACTGGGCTAAGTTGTGGTCATAAGTCAGGACTACCTGTAGTAGGAACTTGAGGAGACCCCAATGAACCAACCCATAGCTAAACCAGAAGAGCAATTTCAGCATTCTTTTCAAGTACTACAGACCGGACTCGTGTTTATTTCTCCATCCATCATTCTGACACTTGGAATTCTGGGAGTTGAAGTCCACATACTAGACGGTTTTTTGCAATGAGTTATGTGCCACAAGGTCGTTTTGGACTCCTGGGCTTCTGCCTAAGATGCATTTTCTCCAGAAGGATGAAATGCGCTTAGCGGCACTGCAACAGAATTTATTATTTTTGCTGCTGCTGCTCCTTTTTAACAGAATCTAACAGAATAATAATAAGGGTTGGAAGGGACCTTAGAGGTCTTCTAGTCCAGCCCCCTGCTCAAGCAGGAGACCCTATACCCGTGATGGCGAACCTATGGCACGCATGCCACAGGTGGCATGTGGAGCCATATCGGTGGGCACGCGAACTCAGCTCTGGCATGCATATGCATGCCGGCCAGCTGATTTTCGGGCCTTCTGGGCCCACCGGAAATAAGGGAAACAGGCTGTTTCCGGCTTCCTGGGGGGTGGGGATGGCCGTTTTCTCCCTCCCCAGGCTCCTAGAAAGGCTCAGAGCCTGGGGAGAGTAAAAAACGGGCCTTCCAGTCCCACCGGAAGTCGACAAACAGGCCAGTTCCACCCTCCAGAGGCCTCCTGAGGGGTGGGGAAGGCAGTTTTTGCCCTCCCCAGGCTCCTAGAAACGCTCTGGAGCCTGGGGAGGGCGAAAACCAGGCCCACCGTGCCAAAAGCAGGGGGAGCACTGGGGGGGGGTCATGTGTGCATGCGCAGGGGGGGCAGGGTGCATAGAATTATGAGTGTGGGTACGCACGTGACCCCCCCGCTTTTTTGTACGTGATGGCAAAAAGGTTAGCCATTACTGCACTATACCATTCCAGATAAGTGACAGTCCAAGTCTCTTCTTAAAAGCCCCCAGTGATGGAGCACCCACAACTTCTGAAGGCAAATGGTTCCCATTTTCCAGATCAGAGCCATAAAAAGGACAAGGAGTGACTCTTAAGAAAATATTTGAACCCCCCCCCAGCACCACTAACCAGCTTCCAACATCCAAAAAGCCTTAAGGGTAGCTGGGGGAGGGGTTCTAAAAGTTCCTTCCGCTACTTGTAAATTGAGATAGGGGAGGGGCTGGGAATTGTGCCTTAAAATCCATCTCAACGGATTAATCCCAATGTGGAGATGCACCTCAGCTGGAATTTTCTCTATTTAGTATTTGTAATGTTAGCTCTATTTGCATTTTACATTCCTATTTTATTGCAATGTAAGCCACCCAGCATCGCTTTTGATGGTGAGATAGGTGGCGTAGGAATTTTATAACTAAAAATAAATTTCCTATACTGAGTAAACAGGGAGTGGATATGACCTCTAAACTTGCTTTCCTTTTTCTGGCATTTTTTTAATTTTTAAATTTTTTTTTTAAAAAAATTTGATTTATATGCTGCCCTTCTCCGGAGACTCAGGGCAGTTTACAATGCGTTAAGCAATAGCCTTCATACTTTTGTATACTTTTTACAAAGTCAGCTTATTGCCCCCACAAACTGGGTCCTCAATTTACCTACCTTAGAAAGGATGGAAGGCTGAGTCAACCTTGAGCCTGGCAAGATTCGAATTTACCAATTTTCTCCAGGTTGATTAAATGTGCTCATCCATACTTCCATTTACCTGGCTATTCTTTCCTTCCACCTTCCCCAGATCAGAGCCCAAAATAAGAGAGGGATTCTTTTAAGAAAATATTTGAAACCCCTCCCCCAGCACTATTAACCAGGCTTCCAACAACATCCCAAAAGCCTTTAAGAATAGCTTGGCGTTTGTAAAAGTTCCTTACAACTATTTGTAAAATGGAGACGACGGGGCTGGAAATTGCCACCGCAACGGATTAACCCCAATGCGGCGGTTGCACTCAGCTGGAGTTTCCTCTACTGTTTGCAATTTTAGCTCTCTCTATATTTGGATTTTACACTCCTAGTTTATTGCATCGAAAGCCGCCCAGAGCAAATAACTCAAAATAAATCAACTTCTTATACTGAGTAAACAGGGAGCGGTGATTATCTGTAAACTTGCTTTTAGTTTTCTGGCATTTCCTCCAGAATGATGCACGTTTAATATTTGCAATGTTAGCGCGCTCTCTCTCTCTCTCTATTTCATATTGATAAAGTAGAATATTTATAGCTCAGGGTTGAACTAAGGGGTCCTTGGTGCTCTCTAAACTTGCTTATTTTCTTGCAGATGTTTCATGACCCAAAGTAGATTAACATCACCACTGCTACTGTAGTAGTCCTACCTATCTCCCACCACGGTAACAAGCACTGATGCTATTACCCCATTTGGGTCATGAAAACGTCTGCAAGAAAACAAGCAAACGCAGAGAGAGCACCAAGGACCCCCGTGTTTCATATTCCTCTTAAATTACACCCTAAACCGCCCAACTTTCGATGGAAAGTTGCGTGGAAATTTAATAACCAAAACAGCACTAGCAACAGCACTTTATATACCGCTTCAAGGTGCTTTACAGCCCCCCTCTAAGCGGTTTATAGAGTCTGTTGCAGAATAATAAAGAAATGAATTTCGAGATCAGAAAAAGCTTTTATTTTGGCCAGAAGGTTCAGACATGCATTCTATTTACATTCTGGACAAAGACCTTCCTTTAAGACACGCATCTTTATAGTTAACAAAAACAGGAAGTATCTGAGAACTGCCTCTTTAGCTAGCCCTCTCCTTTATTGCAGGAAGCTGGTTAATGCTTATCCAAGTGGAGTAACTCTGCAACTGTCTCTAATAATTACTAGTTAAAGGGGCCCTTCAGAGATCATTCAGGCTGACCCCGTATTATTTCACTCTTATATTCCATTTTACTTTACGTCCTACTTTTAAGTAGGACGTATTTATTAACACAGCTGCCTGCAATTACTGCAGGTTCGAATCCTACCAGGCTCAAGGTTGACTCAGCCTTCCATCCTTTCTAAGGTAGGTTAAATGAGGACCCAGTTTGTGGGGGCAATAAGGTGACTTTGTATAAATATACAAAAGTATGAAGGCTATTGCTTAACGCAGTGTAAGCCGCTCTGAGTCTCCGGAGAAGGGCGGCATATAAATCAAATTTAAAAATAAATAAATAAATAAATAAAAAGTCAGCATATTGCCCCCCCTCCTCCCCCCAGCAACCTGGGCCCTCATTTTACCCACTTCGGAAGGACGGAAGGCTTTGTTGTTATAAAAACGGCTAGTTTATATTATGACGGAAAAGTTAAAAAAAAGTCTAGAGCTTCGGTTTTAATGCTCCATTCTACTGCAACAGAGGGAGTGGAAAGTCAAGTTGGTTCCCACTTTTCTCTCTCCCCCTCCTCACTTTTCTTTCCCCTTTCTCCTCCCCACTTCGTCCTACTATTTGCTTCTGTATAATTTAATTCTATAACTTAATACAACGGTTGCAAAAAAAGAAAGGACGAGTCAACGTTGAGCCCGTGGAAAAAAATAAATAAATTTCCTATACTGAGTAAGCAGGGAATGGCGACGACTTCTAAAGTCGCTGTTTCTTTTTCTGAGCAAGCTACGCAAACGACCCCACCTTATTTGCTCCGTTTATGTTTCCCAAGCGGACTTTCCCCGAAGGATCGAATTCGAAAAGGAAAGGAACTTTTTAAAACTTTCAAGCCGGGGAGAGACGGCCATGGCGGCGGCTGCTGCTTCTGCAGCCGGGAACCCCCTGCGGGATCTCTGCGACGAAGTCACTTGTCCCATCTGCCTGAATGGTTTCAAGGACCCGGTGACCATAACTACGTGCGGGCACAATTTCTGCAGCACCTGCCTGAGCAGCTACTGCCAAGGACCCGAGAAAAGCGGCACCACCTGCCCCCAGTGCAGAAAAACCTTCGACCAGGGACAAAACATCATCCCCAACCGGTCGCTGGCCAACGTGGTGGAGATCGTGAAGAAGTTCCGACGGGCCAAACAGAAGTCAGGCAAAGGCAACTTGTGTGAAAAGTACCACCGACCCGTGCAAGTCCTCCACTGTGACATCTGCGGCACCACCAATCCGCACAGCAGCAACCATGGGAGCCCAACCGTGCAGAAAGCTAACGATGCAAATAAGGTGAGCAATAAAAAAAAAAAAAAATCTTACTCGTTTGGATCCGGATTGCTTTTTTTCCTCCTTTACCAAAACTCGGACTCGCGCGCAATCCCGGTCTCTGGGAATGATTTGGGGGGGGGGGGGGGAATTGGGAGGAAGGTCGTCAATGCGCATGCTCAGTAACAAAGAGAGCCATCAATTTCCAATTAAGTGATCCGAAGCCGGCTGGCTGCAGTTTGTTTTGTTGGCTGGCGAGGCGTTTAAAACGCGATTTGTCGGTGATTTATTTTGCAGCTTTCTTCTTCTTACTCTTTTTTTTTTGCTAAAATCGCAATTAGAAGGTGGTTAGAGGATGCCTTTAGGGCTGCGGGGCAGAATTGCTTTACCTTAAAAAAAAAAAAAAAAGGTTGCAAATTGCGATCATTGGCATCTAATTTCCGAAACCAATTGACACCATTGGGCTAAAAGATCCGTGTGATCTTTGCTATTCGGGGCGGCTCTTTCCCCAGTAATAATCCCGATGTGCATGCAAATGAATCTTCTTGGAGAAAATACTCAGCCCTGGTGCTTTCCAAAGAAGGAAAGGAAGACACTGCTGGGAAATAGATGAGAAATGATCAAGTTTATTAAAAGCACCATTCCCCCCCCCCCCATCTCGTGGAGAGAAAAGGCGGGTCTTTTTTAATGGGTATAACAGCATAAAGAGCAAGGAAGCAGCTTGAATAAGCAAAAGGAAGTTTTCCTTTCTTTGCAACACATGATTAAAGCTAGGAGCACGCTTGATCACTGAGTACTTACTCTGTGGTTAAAAAAAAAAGCAAATGGCGCCAACGCAAAAGATTTGGATTTAAACCTACAATTCTGCCTGTGTGCCTTTTTGTTTTCCTGTAAGCCTGATATAAGAAATCTTAGCATCTTGCAAGCAATATTTGGATTTGAACCAGTTGAATCAGAGAGTGAAATGAAATGGATCTCATCCACCAAGATAGGTGATAGTATAAGAGGATATAATGCTTGATAGGAATTCTTCAAATACAATGTTGACTTGACTCAGCCCAAAAGATGAGAGCTCAGCCAGTAAGCTAGTTTCTTTTTAAAATATAATTTTGACCATAGAAAGGTTTAAAAAAGCGGAAACAATTCAAATATTGGAAAAAAAAAGAGTAAAGGAATGTAAGAAGAAATATCTGAATTCTGGGTTCAGCTCCAAGTGGGGAAAAAGACACTGGAAACATAAAGACTGCTTGGAAAGATGGTTTAATGGTGGACAGGATCACATGGTTTGAGTTCCTGAACAGAAAAGGGCCTAGACGCAATGAGTCCCTGGGTTTTATGCCCTCTCAGCTTTGAACTTCCTGGGGTCCAGAAAGAGTATCCTGATTGCTTGTCAGACTCCCAGGGGGTGGGGGTCTTAGCTAGCCTTGCTGGCTGATGCAATCTTCTCAGGTGCCATGTGGTGAGTTTCTGTTGCTAGATGGATCCTATTGTGTTGCAGATGATGGCCCATTGAGTGAGCTTGGCTGAGGCCTTAATTGCCCATTAACAAAGTGTTGAGTCCTCGTTCTTACGACGAAGTCCTCTCCTCGTTTGACTTTACCTGGTCTCGCCTCAGTTACTGACCCCCGGGTTGCCCTACAGAGCACAAAGGTGTGTGTGTGTGTGGGGAGGAGGGGGGAAAGGCAGGAAGCTGCTTTGTCTTTAGAAGGTGCTTCTCCATTTCTCATCCAGGGAAACATAATATTCTGCCTTTTTAATATTTCCCAAAATATTTCATTCTTCTAGGAAAAGGGTGGGTGCTAACTTCCTAAAGGAAAGTAACAAGGAAGTGTATAAAGAAATGGTTTCTGGTCTTTACAGCAATTTTGAGTACTGTACTGTACATTGATATTTTACTTCCTCTCTCTCAAATTACCACATAATTTCCTTCTTTCCTTAATCTACCCTTTCTAATAATCAAACCTTCACACCAATAAGATGACTTCCAAAGATATATTAAATCTTGTTTGTCATTTTCTCCCTAGGAATTCATTGACAATTTTCTGGAGATGCTGAAGGAGGGAAAACAAAATATTTTGGCACGTCAGTCAGGCGGAGAGAAGGAAAGCAAGGACTTGCTGGTAAGTTGTTTTCCTTGCCAAGTGAACCAAAAAAAAAAAGACTTAAAGCCACATTGTGATTAGAAATACAGATAGTCCTCAACCTACAACCAAAATTGAGCCCGAAATTTATGTTGCTCAGTGAGAAATTTATTGAGTTTTTATTAAATGCCCCATTTTATGACTTCTTGCCACATTTGTTAACGTGAATCACTGCAGTTCTTAAATTAGTAAAATGGTTGTTAAGTGAATCTGGCTTCCCCATTGACTTTATTTGTCAGAAGGTCGTGAAAGGGGATGACGTGATCCTGGGACATCGCAACTGTCATAAATATGAGTCAGTTGCCAAGTGTCTGAATTTTGATCACATGATCATGGGGATGCCGCAATGGTCATAAGTGTAAAAAATGGTACAAGTTACTTTTTTCAATGCTGTTGTAACTTTGAATGGTCACTAAGCGAACTGTTGTAAGTTGAGGACTATCTGTAGTAATAGGCAAATATGTATGATTATTATGATTGGTTTCACAGTCAGCTATATGTTTATACTGAATTTAACATTTTTGTCTACCTATCGAGCCCTTCCTAAGGACCTGAAATAGACAGGTGTTATTTGATGCTTCAAAGGGATCGTCACAGAATATAAGATGTTCCAAGTAAAGCTGTCTTTTGCAATGGATGATGGTGAATTTTGTCAATGGCCGATGATGTTAAGTGCTCCAGATATGTTGGGATTGCGTCTAAGGTACCTATGACTATTGGTACTGTTGGAAGAAATATCCATCTGGCTCAGTTCCAAGATGGGAGAAAGGCAGTGGAGACAAAATGGAGGCTGGAGGCTGATTGGAAAGAGGGTTCATTTATTAATGAACAGGACCACATTTGTGGTTCTGGTGCAGCTGACTCCACATGGAGTGGAGAGTGGGTTTTTTTTAAATATCTTCTTTGGACTTTGCATTTGAACTTCCTGTTCCTGTGCAAAAACATGTATTCTATTGGCTGTTGTAGGGGTCATAGTTGGCTCTATAGGTTGTCTGAGCTACGTTTGGTTGATGTTTGAAGGGTGATGCAATGTCCTTAGGCGATTGTGCAATGTAGTGAGCTCTGCTGCTGGATGGTAGTGGGTTAATCCTATTATGTCTTGAAGGCTTAGTAGTACAGTGGTCTAAGGCACCCTGTTATTAAGCTGGTTATTAAGACCAGCTGCCTGCAATTACTGCAGGTTCGAATCTCGCCAAGGCTCAAGGTTGACTCAGCCTTCCATCCTTTCTAAGGTAGGTAAATTGAGGACCCAGTTGTGGGGGCAATAAGCTGACTTTGTATAAATATACAAAAGGATGAAGGCTATTGCTGAGCACATTGTAAGCCACCCTGAGTCTCCGGAGAAGGGCGGCATATAAATCAAATTTTTTTTAAAAAAAGCTCATATCTTCATCCCATCATCCTGGAGCTGAAGGTCTTTTATTTTGTAGATAGGATGGCCTAGCCCCGTGATGGCGAACCTATAGCACGGGTGCCACAGGTGGCACACATAGGCCTCTCTGCTGGCATGTGAGCTCTCACCCCAGCTGAGCTCTGTGTGCGCGCCTCCCACCAGCCGCCTGATTTTCGGGTCTCTGCAGTGCTGTTGTTTAATCAAAATGCAGTTAAAACACTATACAAGCCATCGAGAATATATATATATATATATATATATATATATGTGTGTGTGTGTGTGTGTGTGTGTGTGTGTGTGTGTATGTAAGTTTTCACGGGTATGTATGTGTGTATAGTTAATATTTCGGGTTTCTTCCCGTGTAATTGTGGATATATCCCTAAAAGGGTAGAAGCGACGTTTCGGCAGAATCCCATCTGCCATCATCAGGCTTATGCCAGTAGTCATTTTGCACTAACTGACGTTGGAATTTCAAATCTGGTGCTGGTATTCTGGGATGGCTCCACCATTATGGCTCAGATACGTTGATGACACCTTTGTGATCTGGCCACATGGAAGAGATAAATTGGAAAACTTCTTAGTACATTTGAACAGCCTCCATCCCAAAATAAAGTTCACCATGGAGATAGAATCAGAAAACCAGTTACCTTTCCTCGATGTATTAATTTATAAAAAATCTGATGGCACCTTAGGACATACCATCTATCAAAAGAAGACACATACGAACCGCTATCTCAATGCCAAATCACGCCACCATCCAGCACAAATAAACTCTGTTGCCAAAACATTAACCACAAGAACTAAACGTCTGGCTGATGAAGCACATTTACAAACTGAATTATATACACTAACTAATGTACTGACATCAAATGGGTTCTGTAGAAATAAAGTCATCAATATGATCAAACATACAACACCAAGACAGAATAAAAAACAACAAGAGGAACAAAACAATGGGAAAGCCATCTTGCCCTATATAAGGGGAACAACAGATAAAATTAGCAAAGTACTACAAAAACACAACATCAAAACCATATTTTGCACAGATAGAAAGATATCGTCCATTCTGAGAAACCCCAAAGACAAAATAGAATTAGAAGATCAAGGCATATATGAAATCCCATGTGCTTCCTGCCCATCAACATACATTGGACAGACCAACAGAAGAATGAGTGTGTGCATCGAGGAACACAAAAACTCAATACAAAAGCAAGAACACACATCATCATTAGTTCAACATATAAATACAACAGGACACAACATTAATTTTAATAAAACAAAAACAGTTGCAAAAATAGAACATCTCAATGGCAGGATAATCAGAGAAGCAATAGAAATGGAAAAAAGACCATATTGCATGAATAAACGGGATGACACTTCACGTCTGCCTACTATTTGGAAACCTGCTCTCATAGATAGACGAATCTTGACACCATATGTGGAACATGGACCAAACATTGCACAAAAAAATCCCAACCAAATCATATTCAAACCAGCCACAAAGATAAAGCCCTGCCACCTAGTGGAGAAAAACCGACCATACACCCGAAGCCAAGCCAATAAACACATACTGGGACTCCCAACCAATCAGAATGAAAAGGTGGAGCCATCCCAGAATACCAGCACCAGATTTGAAATTCCAACGTCAGTTAGTGCAAAATGACTACTGGCATAAGCCTGATGATGGCAGATGGGATTCTGCCGAAACGTCGCTTCTACCCTTTTAGGGATATATCCACAATTACACGGGAAGAAACCCGAAATATTAACTATACATACATACATACATACATACATACATACATACATACATACATACATACATATATATATATATATATATATATATATATATATATATATATATCCAACAGGAACAGGAAGTGCCTCACAGGAGCAGATAAAGGTAAATCCTAAAGAGGCAGGAAATGCATCACTGAACAATGGAGATGAATACTAGAGAGGAATAAAGCCGCATACAAGGCAGACATAACACCTGTAACAGTGTAGGCATGCAGGGGTGGGGGTGGGGGAGAGTGCAGCGCACGCATGCATGGAGGGGTGTAGTGCACGCATTGTATTATGGGTGTGGGCACACGCACATGCGCTGTTGTGCATGTGCGTGCGCTTTCGGCACAGAAAGACAAAAAAGTTAGCCATCACTGGCCTAGCCTTTCTTAATGGGCACAAAATAACTGCTGGGGGGGGGGAGGGAGCTGGGGCTCTGAGTTTCTGTCTCCCTTAAGATTTTTATTTCTCTTTTAAGGAGATATAATCTTCTGCCCTTTTTAAATATTCCCCAAATTATTTCATTTTTCTAGGAGAGGGGTGGACGCTAACGTTCTACAGTACTATCTTAGTTTTCTTTTGCCACAGTCATTTATTATTTTGATTGGTCATGCAATCAGCCAGATAGGTAGACCTAGATTTGACATTTTTATCCACCCGTTGAGTCTGTGGAGATTCTGAGTCATCCGGATCGTGGTTATGCCAAATGTGCTTTTTCAAAAGGCAACTGGACTTCGTTTTTCCTTGGAGACGCTTCGCTTTTCATCAAAGAAGCTTCTTCAGTTTGGAATGAATGGTGGAGGATGGAAGGATTAATATTCTTTGCAATCATCTGGACACCCATTTGCACTATTTTGGGTGTGGACACCCATTTATATTCCTTCCAGATATCTGGTCATTAGCTGTCTTTCTGGGAGTCATTGAGGCCACTTGGAGGTTTATCTGTGCCCTCACAGTCATCTGAATAGAGCAAATGGGTGTATCACCCATTTCCACATCCTTTTGCACTATTCAGGTGACCCTGAGGGCACAGATAAGCCTCCAAGTGGCCTCAATGGCTCCCAGAAAGACAGCTAATGACCAGATATCTGGAAGGAATATAAATTTATTTATTTATTTATTTATTTTATTCGGCTTATATGCCGCCCTATCTCACAATGGACTGAGGGCGGCTCACAACAATAAAACACAAGCCACAATAAAAATAAAGACTAAAATCTAAAAAATTTAAAATTAACCCATTAAAACCCTTAAAACCCCATCATCAGACCAGGTCAAGGGATTTGAAAAGCCAAGTTTTTAATTCCTGGCGGAAGGTGCGAAGGTCAGGAGCTAGTCGGAGCTCCAAGGGGAGTTGATTCCAGAGGGTGGGCGCCCCAACCGAGAAGGCTCTACTCCTGGGGGCCGCCAGCCGCCACTGTCTAGCTGACGGCACCCTGAGTAGGCCCTCTCTATGGGCGCGAACCTTTCATTCTCTACCATTCAGTCAGAACTGATGAACCTTCTCGCATGAGAAGTGAAACGTCTTCAAGGAAAAACGAAAGTAAGTCCAGTTGCCTTTTGAAAAAGCTGTTATTATTAATTTATAATTGAAAGGGAGAAGAGTTAGAATCATGACAAGGGATTTATGCTCTTGCTATCTCTGAATCCCCAATTTTAGCTCTACCCACTCCATACTTGCAGCCCTTTTTTGTCTATTTATCTGTTTATCTATTTCTGCAGAGACACATAAAAGTGGAGCGAGAAAAGGCGACATCTCTGTTCAAAGGTCTTCACCACTTCCTGGAAGACCAAGAAAAACAATTCCTGGCCGAGATGGTAGAAGTAGAGGAGGAGATAATCAGAAAAAGAGATTCCTTCACGGCTTTCTATTCTCAGGAATTTTCACTCTATGAAAGGATCATCCAGAAGATAAAAAATTCTCAGCAGCCCAACGATGAACTCTTTACGGTAGGAACAGAGTTCTTTGGTGTATTTGCTTGTTGCCATTTCAAGGAAAGGTTTAAATGATAAGGTTGCTTTCCTTCTACATTGCTGTGCAGCAGTGATTGGTTTCAATTTTTTTTACTACCGGTTCGGTGGGTGTGGCTTGGTGGGTGTGGCTTGGTGGGCGTGGCAGGGGAAGGATACTGTAAAATCTCCATTCCCACCCCACTCCAGGGGAAGGATACTGCAAAATCCCCATTTCCTCCTGATCACCTGGGACTTGGGAGGCAGAGAATAGATGGGGGCGGGGCCAGTCAGAATTTTTACTACCGGTTCTCCGAACTACTCAAAATTTCCGCTACCGGTTCTCCAGAACTGGTCAGAACCTGCTGAAACCCACCTCTGCTGTGCAGGTAGGCCTTGACATACGGCCGTAACGGAGCCTGCCCATTATGTTCAGAAGTCACAACCGTTGTAAAATAAATTCAACCTGGGTTTATGACCTTTTTTGTGGTGGTGGTTTAGCAAATCACCATGGTTGTTAAGTAAATCCACATCATGAGTTGAATTAACGGTTTGCTATGGTCTTGGTTTTGCCAAAATCTGGAAGTTAAATATCGGTTTTGGCAAAACTGTAGTACAGGTAGTCCTCAACTTACAATGACAATTGAGCACAAAATTGACGTTGGTAAGTGAGACATTTGTTAAATGAGCTTTGCCCCATTTGACGATCTTTCTGGCCACAGTTGTTAAGTGAATCACTGCAGTTGTTGAATTAGTAACGTGGCTGTTAGGTGAACCTGGTTTCCCCATTGATTTTGCTTGCCAGAAGGTTGCAAAAGGGGATCACGTGACTCAGAGACACTGCAGTGGTTGTAAATAGGAACCAGTTGCCAAACATCTTAATTTTGATCACATGATCATGGGGATACTACAAAAGTCCTAAGTGTGAAAAATGGTCACAAGTCAATTTTTTCAGTGCTTTTGTAACTTCGAACGGTCATTAAATGAACTGTTATAACTGGAGGACCGCCTGTAAAACGTCCATCAATGTGGCCATGTTGTCAAGTTCCTGAAATTCAGACCCCTGACTGCAGAGGGGGCTCAATCATCAGAACTTTGAATGCAGGTCCTAAGTCCCCTTTTTCAGGTCAGTTGTAACTGAACGGTACTAAGTAACTGGTTGTAAGTTGAGGATTACCTTGTACGTCGAATTGCAGCGGTAACAACCTTACATTAATATTTTCAGTGGGAAAGAGAATAGTTTGCATGTATAGCAATAGCACTTAGACTTATATGTCGCTTCATAGTGCTTTACAGCAGAGTTTCCCAACTTTTCTGGGTTGGCGGCCTGGCACAGGGGGGAGGGGGGAAAGAGAGGATGGTTTTGTGGGAGGGGCAGGTGTGAGCACTTGTTGCTCAGGCAAGTGGGGCCGCAAATACCTGTGATGTTCACTTGAGTGGGGCTCCAACCAGTCACTCACACTGCCTAGTTGCAAATAGGCTGCGGCCCAGTAGTGAGCCATTGCCCACAGGTTGGGAACCTCTGCTTTGCAGCCCTCTCTAAGTGGTTTACAGAGTCCACATAGTGACCCCAGCCATCTGGGTCCTCAGTTAACTGACCTTGGAAGGATGGAAGGCTGAGTCAACCTTAAACCGGTGAGAATTAAACTGTCGAACTGCTGGCAGCCGGCAGTCAGCAAAGTAGCCTGCAATACTGCATTCTAACCACTGCGCCACCAAGGCTCACGTATGGCAAGAACATTAACTCTTTTTTCTGGAAAAATGTATATTTGGGTGATTAGCCACTGGAACTGCTTTACAATATTCTTTTTTTAAAAAATTTTATGAATTTTTTATTAATAAAATTAACATACATAAATCATAATATATAATATAAAACAATATACACAATACAAACAGTCAACAAGTGCTCCTCCACCCCTCGGGATCATTCCTGCTTCCAAAATCTTAAAGCTTCTTCTGGTGGTGGTATCCCCCTTCCTCCAGAAAACACATATATTAGGAACTGTTTCCAAATTCCATTGAATTCATTCACTTTCATTGTGCCCCTCCTTACTTTAATATTACATGTCAGTTTATCATTTATGGCAATATCCCATACTTCCTTATCCCGTTCTTCCAAACAATAATCACCTCGTATCTTCCAGTTCCTAGAAATCATTAACCTTGCTGCGGTCAACAAATTTGTTATCAACTCTTTAGTTTCTTTTTTACACTTTATGTCTTCCAATAGTGAGAGTAATGCTACCTTTGGTGCCTCTTCTACCTTTATTCCTACAATTTCTTCAATCTCCTTATACACCATCTTCCACAATTTTTGCACAAATTTACAATCCCACCACATATGTAAATTTGTTCCTTTTTCCCCACAACCTCTCCAACAGTTATCTGAGTAGTGCTGATTCATATTGTTTAATCTAACCGGAGTTAAGTACCATCTCCATACCATTTTATAATAATTCTCTTTTATTCTTACTGACATATTTCTCAACACTCTTTGTTGCCAAATTCCTTCCCAACTCTGTTGCCCTATTTGTATCTTCAAATCGGTTTCCCATACCATCTTTTCTAAATTTTCCCTCTCCTCTTCCTCCAACAATATTTTATAAATTCCACTCATTAAGCCTTTTATCCCTTTATTTTCTTCCTTTACAGTTTCGTTTTTTTCAATTAATTCCTCGAACCTCGTTAACTCTCTACACTCTCCATTTTCTCTTATCCAGTTTTTAGTCCAATGTTCCACTTGGCTGTAATTTAACCAAGACAACCGTTTTCCTCCTAAAACCTCTTCCAATTCCCCACGTGTCCTCATTCCTCCTAACCATTCCCTTAGTTTCATTTTATTTTTCTCTTTTAAAATTTTATTCACTTTATTCTTCAAATTCCCTGGGAAATTTTCCAAGATTACTACCGGTGATAATGGAGAGTTCTTCAGAAGCAGCCTCCCTTTATATTTACTCCAAATTTGCCAATGAAGCTTCAGGAGAGGATCGCTTATACTTTCAACCCATTTCTTTCCACCTTCTATAAAAATATATATTTTCCAGCTTCCATTCTAATTTGGTTTTAATTTTAGATTTATCTTCCAACCATTCCAATTCTCCTATTCCTAAAATTGCCTCTATAACATGTCTAAGCCTATTAGCGACATAATATAATTTAATATTTGGGAGTCCTAAACCCCCTTTTTTTGGCTTAGATACCACCTATTTTTATTTATCCTCGCTTTCTTATTCCCATTACAATAGTTATTCAATATATTCTGCCAACTCTTTAACTCTAATTCTGATATTCTTATTGGTAGCAACCTAAAAACAAAATTAATCTTTGGTAAACTCTTCATTTTTACTAAAGCAATTCTTCCAAACCATGATAAATTCAACCTTTTATATTTATTCAAACTTTCCAAAATCTCCTTCTTTAAGCTGCCTAGATTTTCCTTTTCTAACTTCTCCAGATTTTTTGTAATTCTAATTCCCAGGTATTTAATGTGTTCTTTAATTCTCATTTCGCTTTGCTTCCCTTCCCTTCCCAATCCTTCTCTTCCCTTTTAGTATAATTAAACAGCATCAACTCAGATTTTGACCAATTTATTCTTAATCCAGTTATTTCTTCAAAATCTTTTAGATCCCATCCAATTCTTTCCATTTTATCTACTATATTCTTAACTGTTAACAGTGTATCATCAGCAAACATATTTAGTTTTATCTTACCTATCCCTTCTATCTCTCCGTCATCTCTTAATGCGTTAGCCAATAGTTCCATATCCAATACAAATAGGACAGGCGAGAGTGGGCACCCTTGCCTTGTTCCTCTGGCTAGTCGTATTTTGTCTGTAACACCATCATTCACCACCACTAAGGCAGAATTCCGAGAATATAATTGATCTATTACAGCTTTAAATTTGTTTCCAAACCCCATTCTATCTATTACCATCTTTAATGCTTGCCAGTTCACACAATCGAAGGCCTTAAAAATATCTAAGGCTAGTATCCCCGCTTTAAGCTTTAAATTTTTAATCTCCTGAATTATATTTAATACTCTACCAACCAAATTATGCATTTGTTGGCCCATTACAAATCCACATTGATCTTCCCTTATATAATTACCTATAAAATTATTCATTCTTCTTGCTAAAATAGTTGAAAATTTTTTTGCATCTTGATTTATTAATGATATAGGTCTGTATGAGTCAGAGAGCATCAGATCCTTGTCTGGTTTAGATATTAATATTATTAACGACTGCTCCCATGATTCTGGAATCTTTTCCCCTTCTAATATTGCATTATACAGCTTTAATAATTTCGGTACCAATAATATTTTGAATATTTTATAAAATTCTGTTCCTAATCCATCTACCCCGGGTGATTTACCCACCTTTAAACCCCTCCAATCCATACATGAAGCAGACTGACACCCACCATGAAGAGATGGCACGGCCACGAACACAAAGCCAAACAACAGCAACACAGCTCACCAGCTCAAATCCCCCTGCTACTCAGACTAACCCGAGCACAACCAAGCCCCCACCTAAACAGAACACACACCCAGTCAATCAGAGCACAGCCAACCCCCCATCCAATCAGAGCACAGCCAAACCCCCAACCAATCAGAACACACCTCCGCCCAATCAGAACACAGCCAAGCTCCCACCCAATCAGTTCACACCCCCACTGGCAGTTAAAAGGAAGAAACAGCTGCGATCACACACATTGCTCCTAGAAGCATGAAGCCGAGAACACCAGCCTGAAGATGACGAATGAGACTTCGTCGAAACGTCGCCAACACTTCCAATTTTACGCGGGAGAAAACCCGAATAACCAAAGACCTACATACATACCTACCTACCTACATACATACATACATACGTACGTACGTACATACATACATACATACATACATACATATATATATATATATATATATATATATATATATATATAAACACACACATACATACATACAGTATATTTAGTCCTTAAACTTGTATTTAAGACTTCTTTTACTAAGGATTGAAGGAGACTCACCTGATATTGTCAGACTTGTTGATCCAAAGATTTCTAACAGCTGAAAAAGCAATTAACGAGTAATTTCTGAAAGTGATTAGAAAGAAACCCAGTTTTCTTTCAAAGGGTACCAACCATGAGTTGAGCAAGATAGCTATTTGAACATCTCCCAGTCCTTTTAAATTCACTGGAGGCCACTATTTTGCTGTCTTCTAACAAGGAGCAGCTGTCTGAAGTACTCATGGGCAATCTCAAGTCCTCTCCTTGTCCTAGGAGGAATTATGAAGAGTTGGTTTACTTGCTGGCTCTTCATTCTACTGTATTTGGATGAATTTCACCATCTTCAGCCTATCATTTCTCAATCTCCCTCTTGGACTTTAGAAGGTGGTGAAGACCTGGCTTTCCCCCAAGCACTGAGGGCAGGGTGTGAATGAAACTCTAGGGGGGTTATGTGTGATCTGTGAGTGTTGAGATTCTACCTGGGGCCTCGAGTTTGTCTCTTCTTCTTTTTCCAAAGTGACTTTGATTGTGTTATATCCTTGTTTACTCCGCAGAGTTCCTTTTGCTAGCTAGATGGCCCTTTAAATTTCACGCATGAATAAATAAGCGAATGAATGAAGAGTTTAATTGCCAACAAAATTCAGCAAAAACTCTGGCAGAATTCTTTCAGTTCCTACTCGTGGCATTACTTATTTTCTTTCTCTTCTCCCTCCAGGAAATCTTAAACAGCTTGCAGACGTAAGTGGATCCCATCTTTCCGTTCCCCATTTATTATTATTGTATTATTTATTTTATTTTATTTATTATTATTTATTATTACAGGTAGTCCTCACCTTACGACCTCAACTGAGCCCAAAATTTCTGTTGCTAAGTGAGACATTTGTTAAGTGAATTTGGCCCTATTTTACGACCTTTCTTGCCACAGTTCTTAAGTGAATCTCTGCAGTTGTTAAATTAGTAACACCGTTGTTAAGCGAGTCTGTTTTTCCCCATTGACTTCACTTGTCAGAAGGTTGCAAAAGGGGGACCACCTGATATTGAGACACTGAAACTGTCGTGAATATGAGTCAGTTGCCAAGCGTCTGAATTCTGGTCACATGACCATGGGGATGCAGCAATAATTGTGAGTGTAAAAAATGGTCCCAAGTCACATTTTCAGTGCCGTTGTAACTTTGAATGGTCACTAAACGAACTGCTGTAACTCAAGGACTACCTGTAGTCAGTTTTTAAGAGTGGCATAGAGCAGGGAAGAAGGCTCTGGGTGTGTGAAAAGCTCTTGTGGCTTTTAGCATGATGCTGCACCATACAGGTAGTCCTCGACTTACGACCACAACTGAGCCCAAAATTTCTGTTGTTAAGTGAAACATTTGTTAAGTGAGTTTTGCCCCATTTTATGACCTTTGGTGCCACAATTGTTAAGCGAATCACTGCAGTTGTTAAGTTAGTAACATGGTTGTTAAGTGAATCTGGCTTCCCCATTGACTTCGCTTGTATGAAGGTCACAAAAGAGGATCACATTTATTTATTTATTTATTTATTTATTTATTTATTTATTTATTTATTTTATTTATTTTTATTTATTTATTTATTATTTATTTATTTATTTATTTATTTATTTATTTATTTATTTATTTACATGACCCCAGGACCCTGCAACCATCACAAATATGAATCATAAGTGTGAAATACGGTCATAAGTCACTTTTTTTCAGTGCTGTTGTAACTTTGAACGGACACTAAATGAACTGTTGTAAGTCGAGGACTACCTGTAGAGAGAGGGATATCGGTGCACCTGTCGTTGGTCCTCCACGTTCATTCTAAGCAAGGAGACCCTTAGTGGCTTATTTTGTGGGGCATCGAACTCCTATTTCATTGCAACAGCGGAGCAGAGCAAAACCAGCAATGTCTATTCATGATGATGGGCACATGTGGCCCCTGAAAACCTTGGATGTTGCTTCAGTTTTGGAGATCTCCAAAAATAATCTATTGTATCTTTAAATGAGACAGGGAAAATGGTCAAATCCATAGCCAGATAATAATGGGATGACCTGCCTTGAATTCAAATCAAACATGAAAGCAATTAAATCAACATTCGTTTTTGTCCCAGCTTCATGATTACAGTTGTCCTGGTCAGAAACTGAATATGGCCCTTGGCTTGGAAAAAGTCATACATCATGAATGAAGGCAGATGTATACGTGTCTCAGGATAATGTTGCAGGTTCCAATCTGGGTCGGTCACTGTGGCCAAAGGTTTAGTCTTCCAAGCTTTTGAACTCGTGCTGGAGCCCATCTTCAGGGAATTTCTCTCTGAACATGTTGTGATGACCGGAGACAAGTCACGAAGGTCACACAGCCAGCTGAGAGTTCAAACTCCCCTTCAATGCTCAAAATGTCTCCTCAAATGCTACCATCTTTTGGCAAGTCCCAGAGCAAGGTGTGTGCTCACACACATGGCAGCCTTTGGCTGCGCCCAATCCAGCAAAACAAAGGAACAGGGAAATGAATCCATGGAACAAGGAACAAACAATGAGTCCACAAACCAAGGAACAAACAATGAGTCCACAAAGTCAGGAAGAAGGCACTGAGTCCACAAAGTCAGGAAGAAGGCACTGAGTCCACAAGTAAGGAAGAAGCAAGCAGTCCTGCAAACTCCAAATGTCTGTACTGGCACACTAAACTCTACCAATTCGGCGTTTGTTCCTGACAAATGCCCCTCCCCACAGCGTCTCCTTAAATCTCAGGCTCAGGTGTACCTTGTGAAGGGGGGCGGGGCGGGGCGCTCTCCTCCCGAGTCGTCGGGTCAGCCTGTGCTGTTCCTGTCTTCTCTCTACTCTCCATGCTCGGGGATCAGGAGGGAGAGGTCCTTGCTCATCGCCTGATCTCCATCGTTCTTCAGGTCCACTGCTTGCCCTCTCTCGGTCATCCTGCCCCCGTTCCTCCCTGCTAACAAGCCGTCCCAATCCTGAGGGGCCCTGGGCTGCCTCAGCCTGCTCCTCCCCACATTCCTCTGAAACCAATGAAGCTGCCTCCTCGATTTCCATTGGCTGTAGCTCCGGCTCATCCTTCTCCTCAGATTCAGGCTCCAACGTGGGCATGACACATCTACACATTCTGGTAAGAGAGAAGTTCCCTCAGGATGGGCTCCAGCATGAGTCCAAAAGCTTGGAAGAATAAAACTTTGGCTTCAGTGACCGACCCAGATTGCATCCTGCAAAGTTGCACACCGTTCATCTGGAGAAAAAAAGTGGGTGAGATGAGGATTGTAACCTCAAGTTGCAATCGATAACCATTACTAGGACAACATAGGCAAGAATAGTAATAGCAATAGCACTTAGACTTATATACTGTTTCACAGTGCTTTATAGCTCTCGTTAAATGGTTTATAGACCCCAACAGTCTGGGTCCTCATTTTACCCACCTCAGACGGATGGAGGTGGGTAAACCTTGAAAAAGCTCTGTTGATGATAGTCATTATTTAAAATGTCTTCTGCATTTAGGAAGAGAGTAAGGAAACTGAAATTTGTTTATTTCTGGAAAATGTTGTGCTCATCAGGAATCTTCTCTCCAAAACATCTTCTACTCTGCGTCTTTTGCTATACCTTTAAGATTCTGTCATTTGTTTCCAACCTATGCAAGGGAATTTTTGAAGGGGTGGACTGAAGGCTAACATTGTTTCATTTCTCTAGTGAGGAAAATATTGCGAGCTATTCATCTTTTCAACCTGCCCTAAAGTGGAGAATTTGGGACGTCTATGATACCAATCACATCCTGGAAGAAATCACGAAACACTTTAAAGGTAATATGTGAAGATTTTGTGCTAACTCCTACAGTCACCCAGTTGACGCATGTCAAGATTTTAGTTGAGGGCAGCAGTGAATTTTCTAAGAAATTCTGAGAGTTCAAGCCAATTTAAACATTTGATCTGCTTATACATAGTCGAATGAGTGGTGCGGTGTCCTAGAGGTGGAGCTCTCACCTCACAATCAGGAGGCTGTGAGTTTGATCCTAAGTAGAGGCAGATATTTCTCTCTCTGGGCGCAATGAAAATATAACTCTGCATTGGCGACAGGAAGGGCATCCGGCCAGTAAATACTCAGCTCCATTCAGTTGCCCAGAGTCCACCCCCCAAGGGATTATGGGGTCATTAAAAGAAGATGATGATGATATGTGACCAAATGTTACCGTTTCTTCCTCCATGGAAAACTAATTTCAGCATTAAAAGATTCAATTGCATGATAAGATGCACACAAATAAATATCTGTAAAATTTAACTGAAGAGTATGTTTCATGTTATTTTTGTAAGATCTGTGTTGTACATGAGAGAGCAATGCTTACTTCTTTTCCTATTGTCTTTTCAGACACTTTGCTATCTGGTCTTCAGCTTCAGAAAGGTAACCCTGGGGGAGGGGAATTGGTGAAAGCAAAGTGGGCTGATTTTCTCTTGGCCAGATCATTTAGTGAAAATGGAGACCTAGACTCCTTTGGAGCGCCCATAAAGAGGGCTTCTGTTTGTTACCAGCAACCAGAATTTATCTAGTTAAAAAGCCCCCAATCATTTAAGATAACTCTCTGAACCTCCCTAAGAGTCAGGAAGGAAGTGCTCATTGAAATTTTTTCTCTCCCTCCCGTATTTTGTCAGTTAGTGATAGAAAAGATATAATGTATGTTATATATAAATTTATATATAAATAAAAATAAATGTATTTATAAATCAAGATCAATTTTATACCCTGTTTCCCCCAAAATAAAACATTCCCTGATAATAAGCCCAATTGGGCTTTTGAGCGCATGGCAATAAGGCTAAGTGCTTATTTCAGGGTTCAAAAAAATATAAGACAGGGTCTTATTTTCAGGGAAACACGGTATATAAATAGAGTTTCTATTTATATAGTATATTTAGCAAATATACTATGTACATTTATTGTGTGTGTGTGTGTGTGTGTGTGTGTGTGTGTGTGTGTATGTATATCCTGTCTGTCTATCCGTCTGTCTGTATGCCCCCCCTCCTCTCTCCTATTTATGTAACCCATCTATGCAGTAAGAGAACTCTGGCCTCTCTCTGTAGGCCCCCCTCCCCTATCCTGCATTAACAGGATCTTCTCCCCTTTTTAAATGTTGTTCTCCCCTTTTTAAATGTAAATTTTAATTTGTTTTTAAATTATGGGGTATTTTAAATTTGTTTAGCCAAATTATTTAATTCGTTTTTAATTTATTTTAAATTTTTGTATTTATGTGTTTTATCTTGTGGCTGTTCACCGCCCTGAGTCCTTCAGGAGAAGGGCGGTATAGAAATTTAATAAAATAAAAATAAAATAAATAAAACAGAGGGATAGAGTCATGATAACGTGAAATGTTAGTATCACTTTATAAAGCCTTGGTATTATTACACAAGAGCAACAAAGATAATTAGGGGACTGGAAGCTAAAACATAGGAAGCATAATTGCAGGAATTGGGTTTGGCTAGTCGAGAGAAAAGAAGGACTAGATAGAGGCGATATGATACCATAGTGTTCCAATATTTGAGGGGCTGCCACAAAGAAGAGGGGGGTGGTGGTTGTCAAACTATTTTCCAAAGCACCAGAAGGCAGGACAAGAAGCAATGAATGGAAACTAATCAAGAAGAGAAGCAACTTGGAATTAAGGTGAAATTCCTGTGAGAACAATAAACCAGTGGCAAGACTTGCCTCCAGACCTTGTGGGTTCTCCATCACTGCAGTTTTTAAACAAAAGACTGGATAGCCACTTGTCTGAAATGGTATAGGATCTTCTGCTTGAGCAGGGTTTGACTATAAGGCCTCCAAGTTTGCTTCCAACTCTGTTAAATTTTGTCAGGGTTCCAAGTAACACGCCCAACGAAATCAAACTCCGAGGCTTGAAATTCCTCCAAGTTAACTTTTATTAGAGATGTCATATTGGCACACCTGGGAAAACCCGAATCTGAGAGCTTTTGGGTTTTTCCTCACCCAAAAGAAAGTTCAAGTCCTTGCCCATCACCCACATGTCCATCATACCCACCAATCAGGTACCTTCCGGATCAGAAGATACCTCCTCATTCTTCTCAGCACAGCTGCAGGGCACATTGGCCTTGACTTTCTAAAAGAATTCTATTTTGACTACATATCTTCTTCACTCCATACAATTCCCCCCCTCCCATTTTCCCCACTGTAGAATTTGTGGCAGGCCTGAAGGCTCAAAGGTAAAAGATGACTTCCAGGTCTGACATTGTTATTCTGTTAAAATGAAAGATAAAAAAGATATAAGTAATAGTGAATGATAATGACCAACAACATTGGGGCGAATAACATAGTTGAAGGGAAGACTCATCTCTGGCATCCTACATAACGGCATTGCTGGGACAGACTGTAAAGTCTTCAGAGGCACAGTAATGTTAAAGCCCCCGGAGATACAGAGGATCCCTGACCTACGGACCTTTCGCCGTGCCCTCAAGACGCTATTATTCCAACAAGCTGGGCTGGCCTAGACATGATTTTTAACGGGGGTTTATTTTTAAGGATTAAGGCCAATTGTTTAATATGTTTTTAAAATGTTTTTAAATTTTGTATTTGGATTTGTTTTACTGTTTTACTGTTGGCTGTGCACCGCCCTGAGTCCTTCGGGAGAAGGACGGTATAGAAATTAAATAAATAAATAAATAAATAAATAAATAAATAAATAAATAAATAATAATAATAATAATAATGATAATAATAATAATAAAGAAAAGCTTGTCCTTCAGAAAAACTCTTTGAAGATTGCTTGTTTCCCAGCTCATCTGCCCCTTCCATATGCCCCAATGTGAAGGGGAGCTGCCGGATCCCCTCACTGAAACAAGGCCATGCACCACGTTTTCCTGAAAATAAGACCCAACTGGAAAATAAGCCCTAGGGTGATTTTTCAGGATGCTTGTAATATAAGCCCTACCCAAAAAATAAGCCCCAGTTAAGATCTGGATTAAGGAAAGAGTTCTCGTTCAAGGTGAGATCCCTTTTAACTGAGGGAGAATTTGATTCGTGTGATTTTGTTTTTAGGGTTGGGTATTTCTATTTCAGATTAAAGCTACTTTGCTTCCCTTTCTTGATCTTCCTCCTCTCTCCATAAACAGCAAACATAACCCTGGATCCAAACACAGCTCATCCCCAACTCACCCTGTTCCTGGATGGTAAAGCAGCGGAACTACACGAATATTGTCAAGAATTGCCCAAGAATCCTGAAAGATTTGACTTACTGGCTGTGGTGTTGGGACGTGAAGAATTCAAGGAGGGCCGGCATTTCTGGGAAGTCAACATAGAGAGTCAGAAAGAATGGGCAGTGGGGATTTCTCGTAAGAGTGTGAAAAGGAAGGATTTGTTCTCCTTCAATACAGAAGAAGGGATCAGTATGCTGGGAAGATGGGGTGATAATTACAGATTCTCCCTCCCACCTAATCCTCTTCCTCACATCCCGGACAAGAAATTAAAAAGAATCCGGGTGTGTCTCAACTCTGCTGCGGGGAAGATTTCATTTTTTGATGCTGAGACTGGAACTCTGCTCTATTCAACAACTTCGTTTCCAGGGGAGATCGTTCTTCCATTCTTTTGGTTGGGGTCATGCGCCCAGCTCAGTATTTGCCAATGAGACCTTCCAGTGGGGCCCCTGTAAGAATTCCAGATGTTTCTAACATTGATAGGCTCAGGGTGTCTTTGTTCTGTCCCCAACCACACGCACACACACCAATAGACGTTCAAGAGGTAAAGACCAAACCAGCCGGCAAAATCCTTTTCCTTATGATAACGGAACTTGGCAACAACCTAGTGGCTGCCTGCCAAGAGTTTATTATTTACGAAGAGGAGAGATAACTTCTCCCCACTCCTGGTACATCAAAAGAAACAGCTCAATAATTACGGAGTCAATCAAGTCCAGAGATAATCCAGCAAAGTCTATAGCAAAAAGTCTGGCAATGCAGAATGGTGTGGAAGCTTTCAGCTTTGTTCGTCACAAGGTTTGACTGGCCACCACGCTCCCTTTTATATCCTGTGTGGTGTGGTCCAATGACTCAGACTAATCTCGGGCACGTCTTTTCTTCTGTTGCGCGCGCTTATCTCTGCGATGCTGGCGTGGATCCAGCCAAGACTCATTACCCTCATCACTGTCCATCTGTGGCTGCGTGGACGTGCTTGGCCCCAGCCCTATCTCTTGCCCTTCGGCGGACACCGAAGGCATTGCCAGAGAGGAGGGTCCTGGAGAGAGAGGCCTTGCCAACTCCTCTTCCTCACTCTCAGAGTCTGCATCTGTCGATAGCCCAGGCTCAGGCAACGGAGCCACAACAGTCTTGTAGTTCTTTATAAATTTCTACTGGTAGCGCATCTGGTCCTGGAGTTTTATTGGTTTTTTTTTTTTTTTTTTTTTGCTTTTTGATTGCTTCTGTTAGTTCTGCCATTGATATTCTTTCTTCCAGCCTACTGTATTTTTCGGAGTATAAGACACACCGGAGTATAAGACGCACCTTAGTTTTTGGGGAGGAAAATAAGAAAAAAGCTGATTGGTAGGTGGATCGGCCTCCTGGAATACCCCCAATCAGCTATTCCCAGAGGTGAATTTTAGCAACAGGTTCCTTGGTTGTGAGCTGTTTCAGAAAAAACTTTTTTTTTCTGCCTCTAAAAGCCTCAGAAACAGAGCTTCAGAAAAAAAGCCTCTGAAGGTCTGTTTGGGGGCTTCTTTCCTGAAACTCTGTTTGGTGTCTTCTTTTCTGAAGCTCTGTTTGGGGGCTTTTCTGAAGCTCTGAAGCTTCATTTCTGATGCTTTTTTTCAGCCTCTGAAACCTCCGCTTGAGAAGCTGGGCGGGGCTACATTTGGAATATAAGATGCACCCAGATTTCCCCCCTCTTTTTTGGGAGAAAAAGGTGTGTCCTATACTCTGAAAAATATGATATTCTTTACCGTTTCTGAAATTTTAGGTAAATTAGCTTTATCCAAATACTGTATTATTCTTTTCTCTGGTATTGTGTCATGTTCATATAACCTCTCATAAAAGTCATGTGTTATGTCTTTTTTCATATTGACAGTGTAATGTGCCTTCCTTATCCTGTAGTTTTATTATCCAATTCTTTTTAGTCGTAAAAAGGGAGAAAACTCACTTAACAGATTTCTCGCTTAGCAACATAAATTCTGGGCTCAATTGTGGTCGAGTACCTGTAGACAGTTCCAAGACATTCCTTTTAATATGTATCGCTCATTGTGTGCTTGCTTAGTCTCTTGTAATTTCTTCCTTTCCTGTGAGTGTAAATATAAGTATTAATTTCTTCTTGCTACAATAGTTCAGATGGGATTCCGTAGGGTGGCAGAATAAGGAAAAGGGCTATGAAATTTATTCCCCTTTCCCAACTTCCTTTGTAAATCAAGTTCCAGAAAATGAACCTTCATCATCCTTAGGGCTTTGCGGCCTTATATTTCTGATGCTGTAAGTATGCTAAGGGTTGATTTCCTAATAAACCTTTTTCAAGATTTATTACCATCCTGCGTCTCCCTTCATGTTCTATGTGCTTTGGTGTCTGTCCTGCAAATTCTAAATTAAGCCTTGATGCACAGATTGTCTGCATATATATCAGTGGTGGGTTCCTCCCGTTTCGGCCCGTTTCGGCCGAGCCGGTAGCGGTGACGATATGATGTACTTAAAACTTAAGCCAAAATCTTAACAAGCCAGGAGTTAATTATGTTTGTTGTCTCTTCCAACCCAGTGAGGGAAATTAACTTCATGTCACCCTGGCATCAGCTGTCTGTTGCGATCATCTGGTGAGCTCCTCATGAGGAGTCCAGATTAGAGAAGACACAGACACAGGTGTTTCTCGGGATGAGAGAGCCTCGAGCTGACTCCAGACCTCTCTTTTATTATACAAGGGTATAGGGCGTATCAGAAGACATGATTACAGCTATACATTCTCATATTACATCCGTGATACAAAGGATTTTCTCCATATCTGGACATAACTTTCACATCCTACCATATTACGGTAAATCACATGAATTCTAGGAAAGCAATACTTAAGACAGAAACAAAACTTAACTCTTGCTATGTTATCATATTTGACTTCGTTCCCAGCATCCCATCACCTGCGAACTGAGAGGCCCCGTTATCAGAGATTTACCTCAGTTGTCAGGAATGTTAGTTCAAAGGAATTGCCACACAGTTTCTGTTCTACAATATTATGAACAAAGAGAGAACGAAGAGGGCCTTTCAGTGATCAACTAGCTGAACCCGCTTTTCCTACTTTATTCTTCTTCCATAGCCAAGCTCTGCATATGTGTTCCAACCAGCCAAACTGGTCTACACGTACACCATGGCTACCTTGTTCCCACAGCTGTCTACGCTGTTCTCTCAATGATGATCTTTGGGAAAATCCCTGAGGATTTGGCAGGCAGAAAGATGAAGCGTTCTCTATGGTTTTCATAATTGTAGGTGAGAAACACGGAGTGGACTGCAGCTGCCGTGAGGTGGACCACCAGGATTAAAAGTGTAAACAAAACTTAGTGAAGCAGCTGGTCGAGTTGAGTCACCTGGAAATAGTCAATGAGGGAGCAATTTGGCACTGGCTAATGGAAAAATACCAGAGAGATACTGAATTAAACCCCCAGAAGGAATAATGGGTAAACATCAAGCTGCGTTGGTTAACAATGCCTGCACATTGTACAGATCTGAATATTCTCAGTTGAATCAGCCTCATTCAAGTCTAGCCATACAGCCAATGTCAGGCTAAAATCCTAAACCATTCCCCTTTCCCCAAGTCCTTTTTTTAGTTCCATGGGCCCGAAATGTTCCATGAAATCCCGAAAGCGTTACGTGCACCAACCACAAAATATCCTCAAAGTCTCTTAATAGCACAAAGCAAAATATCAGATCTGTTTAATAAAAAAAAGCTTGTTCTAAATCAACAAACTATGACCCCCCCCCTTCATTAAGCTTGAAATTTATTATTGGTCCTCAAACATTTGTTACATGAGAATAATTTAATAAATACTATCTTAATAGTATTATGAATATTAATAATGATAGTGCTATGAATAAAAATAATGATAAACCCCACTTGAATGTAGCATGAATTGATTACAAGGAGGCATTTGAATCCCTGCCACGTGATAGGAGGGGATTAAGTGCCTAGAAATAACAGGAGTCAGTAGAAACATCAGAGGTTTTGTGCAAAGACGGATGGCACAATGGAAGACATGGTTAATAGTCAATGGTGATTGGGAGAGATTAATATCAAGAGAGGAATCTTCCAAGGAGATTCAATTTATAATAATAACAGTAACAGAGTTGGAAGGGACCTTGGAGGTCATCTAGTCCAACCCCCTGCTCACGCAGGAGACCTGTACTAGGGATTCGAACCGCCGAACTGCCGACCTTCACTGAATCCTTTTGTCAATGATACTAAATAACTCAGGCCATTGTTATAAAAAAAAAATAATTTAAAAAAATCTGCCAGACTATCTCACCACCTTTATATGGATGATCTAAAACATGGGTGCTCAAACTACGCCCCCTGGGCCGGATACGGCCCACTGAAGCAATTTATCTGGCCCCTGCGCAGTGGTAGGATTCAGCCCTGCCCCTTGCCCCTCTCCTCCCAGCCACTCCTCACGTGGCTGGCTTTTGCTTAGGTTTGTCTGGCTGACGGAGGTCTGGAGAGGAGGCGCCTCGTCAACCACAAGGCTGCGCCACCCGCATTGCCCCTCCTCCAGCAGTCAGCCTTACCTTCCAGCCCGCGGAGCTTGCAAAGCTCTGTTCACTGCGGCTGCCCACAAAGGTAAGGCCGATGACGGGGGAGGGAGACATGCTCCAGGCCCACTGCGCTTGGCCAAAGGGGGCAGCCTGGCAGGTGGGCAGATGGGTGGGGGAAGGCCACTTGGCAGAGGGGCGAGGCGAGGCCCAGCAGCTGTGGAGAATCCAGGTGGGAGGACAAAATGCCGGCACCTGCCACTCCCTTTGGATGCAAAAGGAGCGGCATCTGCCAAGGCAGCTGGAGCAGTGGGTGAGAAGATGCAGGGATGCCGCCAGCAACGAGGATGCTCAGACTTACATCCATCCTGGCGAGCTTCGCTTGTTTCAGCCTTGGATCCATCTTTGGATGGATTTCACAGGGCTGCCACAACGGGGGATGGGCACACTGTGGGAACGGGAGAATAGAGAAGGGAGTATAGTCACAATAACATTCTTTCACATGAGCTCAAGTTCGAGCTGCTGGCGCCTGGAGGGGAGTGATTTTAGTTTGGCGGGAGAGGGAAAAGAGTGTGATTGGGCCATGTGATGTGAATGTTGCTAAATGGGGCAGGGTGTGAGTTTTAGTGTGGGAGGAGGAAAATGCGAAGTTTCAGATTCGTGTTTTCCCCAAATGTGCCAACATGACTTCTCTAATAAATTCTTACTTTGTTGGACTTTGTTTTCGAGTTATGAATTGTACTGGGGATTTAATTGGAACGCTGACATTAACCTGAGTCTCATAGAAAAGAAAACCCCAGTGGCTTTTTGTGAAGCAGTACTGCTGTCTGGGGTCCTGAGCCCTGGCCGCAACCCAGTCTACCAGGAAGCGCAAGACTCAGGGAAGATGGAGCAGAAAACGGCGACCACTGAGGAAGCCTTGGGATTTGTTTTGGAGGGGATTTGCGGGACCATCCCTCAGCTGCAGTGGTTGCTGAAGCTGAAGTGGCACAGGCAGAAACCCGAAGGGGCCCCCGGCCTAAGGAGCCAGCGCTGTGGCAGCCTCAGCCAACTGGCCCAGCCCCGATGAGTGAGCGACCTGAACTGGTAGTGCAATTGGGACTGGAGGATGCAGCGATAGCCCCCCTACTGATGGGAATGCCAGAGCAGCCTGAGCATGGAGCAGCATTCGAATATGTTAGATCAGGCGCAGGAAATGAAGACGTGACCAGCTCGATACATTAAGTAACTTTATTCGCTACATAAGTAACAAGACAAGACTGCAGGCGCGCTGCCGGGGCTCTCCTTATATTCGCTCCCGGCAGACGCACCGCCCCTTGACAGGGATTCAAATCTCCCGCCCGATGGCTCGCAGCCAATCCGGGCGGATGTCCTTATAAGGACATAACAGAATAGAAGATGACAAATCCCCTGGAGCTTAGCGAGTCCAGGGAATGGGAGTTCCCACCATCATTGCGAAGCCAGTCGCTGGCTGGGCTGCCCGAGAGATTCGACCAGCTGAGCATGGAACCGACAGCCCAAGCAGCCCCATACTCGAGCTAGCCAGGTTGGAGCCTGGCCCAGCCCACATTCAACTTTCCAGGCCAGGGGATCATGGACCAAGGTCCAAAGTGGGACCTTGGTTTTGTTCCACTCAGCGCTGAGCAGACCAAGACTTAGCTTCCCTCCTTGAATCCAATCCGTTAGGGTGATGGCCCAGCAGAGTGCAGCAGCTGGACAACCAATCGGACCCATGGGTCACTCAAGCCCAGATATCCATGGGAGGGTGACAGGATTGCCTAGACTTGCTCATCCTCTCCCCCCAGCGAACCTTGGATTACAGCTGGACAAGCTGACCCCTCCCAGATGGGCTTTTTACCTGGGCCAGGGATGAGTTCAGTACCAATGGATGCTGGCTCCAGTTTCTCAACCGGCCTCACAGGTTGCTGCAGTGCCACCCGCAGCTGCCCCCCCCCCCCATGATTCTTAGCAACCTTTGACGGAACCCCAGGAAAGCTGGCGTATTTCCTAAACTGCATCTGGGCCCATATTGATTGCTATGGGGCTCAGTATCACTCAGATCAGGAGATGATTTCGGTCATTGCGGACAATATGAGAGAGGGTGAAGCAGCAGAATGGATCGCTCAGCTCCACGACGAAGGAGCCCCCGAGCTGGAAGATGAAGATGAGTTTGTGCAGTCCCTAAGGGCCCAATTCAAGGGCACAGCTAACCGAGAGGAACCTGAAGCAGAGATAAAAGGCTTGAAGCAGTGTGGCTGACCCCCCAAAGAATATGTGTGGGAGTTCAGGAGAGTAGCAGGCAAGCTGTGAGACCAGTGGTGGGATTCAAGTAATTTAACAACTGGTTCTCTGCCCTAATGTTTTCTTCCAACAACCAGTTTGCCAAACTGCTCAGAAAGTTAACAACTGGTTCTCCTGAAGTGGTGCGAACTGGCTGAATCCCGCCACTGTGTGAGACTGGCTGGAGTGTCTGTTCATTCACTATTTCAAAGAAGGCTTGAATTCGGACCCTAGGCAAGTGTGTGCCTTCTGGGATGTCCCAAACTACATACAAGAATGGTACTAGATGGTGGTGGCTATGAACTTAGAGTTTTACCCCCCCCGCCAAGGTAATGCACCAGAGAGAGCCGCTAAACAGCCGTTGGGAACTCAAGTGTCAGGGAGGCAGTATCAGGTACTGGGGAGCTTCCACCCCCTCCCCTTCCTTCTCCTCACAAGCGCCTGAGGCAGTTTGGCTGCAGCACTTCCCCCAAAGCCCCTCAGCCCCTGTATTGATAACGCCATGGCTTCTGGCTGCCAGCATTGGCAGTCAGCCGATTGGCTGGCGACAAACTGTCCCATGCGCCCAAAAGCCCGGGACGAACTGTATTTCGCCAAATGGGCCGTGCCGAAGGGCGTGGGACGAAGAGGCCAAGGCTCATTGGCCAGGGTGAAAGAATGCATGCGGGGAGCCAAGGAGAAAATCTGGAGGTTAATGTGTAGAGGTGAAACCCTGGAGGAGAAGCAGGCGTGGCCAATGGTAGGAGCCCCTGAGCTAGTAGGCCTTTTATAAGCCATTGGTAAAAGAAAGGTCACCTTATTGTTGCATAACTAAAAATATTCTCTGGATCTTGATTATAAAATGGATCGATGAAAAAGTTGGTGGTTGTAAGAATTGCATCAGCAACTTCTCCTGCTGTGTCTTTTCCCTGTGATCAACCAAAGTTTTGGATATTGCAGAGGTGATGTTGCCTATTATAATTAATCACCTCTTGGATGTCTTCTTCCTGATTCTCCAGACCTTTTCCCCAATGACTGCCTTCAGTGTAAACAACAGGTTTAGGAACAATATAACATGTCCCAGAAAGCCTGGATGATTTAATGCCTTCTTAGCCATATACTATTCAGTAGGTTGAGAATTGATTTTCATATTTAAATATAAAACCTTGGCTGAACTCTTGAATAAGGAAAAATACAAAACAAAATTTGATTGATTATTCTTAGACGTATTTGATAAGAACAAGTGACTCTACCCAACATACCAACTATGGTCTTGCAAATAATTTTTCTGCTCTTGCCGCACCTAATTTACGGGGTGCTGAAGCTGAAATGTCCTTTGAATTTGAAACCAGATAAAATACAGCCACTGAATTTCTACAGACCAGGAGACATTCTCATCAGCGGGATTTCTTCTTCCCAGAATATTTATGACGGTTTGTTCCCGTTTGACTCGGCTCCCATTGCTAATGTTTTTTTGTACGTTCCTATGTCTTACAGAGGTACAGCCTCTCTATTTCTTGTGTGTGAGAGATTGTGCAGCAAGGTTGTCATGGAAGGAAGATCAGACACAAACAACCAAGTTATATGAGGGGAGTCCATTGATAGCTCATCTCGTAAAGGGTAACTTAGCACACGTGGCAAAAAACCTGGGAAGAAACTACACAAAATGTTCCATGTGTCTCCACCTTAATTAATTCATGGTTATTAAAGGATGGTTGGAAATCCTTTTTGTACTTCCCAAGGTTCTGTATTCACCCTTCATGCAAGTATTAAAAACCTTTTACTGAATGTTTTCACAATGCAGTTATTGTGTTGCTTCCTTGATGTTGGGGAAGAATATCACATTCCTAAAATTAAAATGCTACCTATCTCCCTTAACTGGGGACTCAGTCCTCTTATCAGATTCCCTTTGTCTCTCCAGAAGTCCAGGCCAGAAAAGTAGATTTCAGCTAAATGAAAGGATTTACTGTACTTCCTCCCAGTCAGAAGAAAACTAGGCACCTTATCCTGAGTGCCTTCCACAGATTTATCATATTGCGTATGTAGATTCTGTACTGAAGGTGGGACTGCACTAAATGATTGATTTATCATCATTTAGCTAGAAGGGAGGAGGGACAGATAACTGCCTTCCATTCTTGTTGCCTCTAATCTGCTCTTCCACTAAAATGTTTCAGAGATTGGGTTACTCCAAAATGAACTAGAAGCAATTTTACTTGTAAAATTCAACATGGTGTGGAATACTCCTAAGTTTGGACAGAAACACAAATACAAGTTAGGAGAGAAATGAAAGCAGGGGTAGATGTAAGTGTCTCTTCTGAGGGGCAAGACTGTTTTAATAGACTTCCTAGGTTTTTAGCAAATTTACTATTGGGCAAGGAAGGGATTAGATGAGCCACTTTACTGCTGGGAAAAGGTGAGGAGAAGAATGACTTTGAGGATCCTTCTTCTTGGTGGCCAGACTCCAAAGTTCTTAGGACCAAGTTTCCTGAAACACTGACTGCTCCTAGGTAGGTCTTCCCTTTTGGTGAAAGTATGATGTTGCCTGGAAACAATTGGATATACTTGTAAGGAGAGAAAATGATATTTGTAAAGCAACACCTTGAAAACAAGACCCAGACATTTTTGATAAGTATTTATTATTATTCTTACAATCAAAGGAGCATCTTTTAAATATGTTGTTCTGCAGAATGAAACTGTGATGTAACTATATTTCCAGAATAGACAACCCAGAGCATTGGAAAGCCCTGTCCTTCCTTTTTGCCGTTGAGGAGATTAACCAGAACACCCAAATCTTACCCAATGTCACTCTGGGTTACACTATTCATGAAAGCTGTTCCAACAGAAAAGGGACTGCAAGGGCTTTGCTGGACCTGCTTTCAAAGGGAGAGGCAGATGTTCCAAATTACAACTGTGGAAAGAGGAGAAACATACTGGTGGTCCTTGAAGGAGCTGATGCAGACACATCCATTGATATCTCAAATTTGTTAAATCTCTACAAGATCCCACAAGTAGGTATATAGGCAATGGACGTTTAACTAAATTTAAGCAAGAATATTTCCTATACGTACCTAATGTGATGCAGCAGGAATCTGTATATCACCATCGACAGTTTGATTTTTCAAGGGGCATAAACATTTACAGAAATGGCAAATTTGCAGATGTGTAAAATGAGAGAATTCAGAAACCCCACAGATTCTCAGTGTTTTGCCTGTTTTATTATTTTTTTTGCTCCTATTATAATTTCATTATTTACTATATCAAAATTGCTAACTCTGCTTTGTTTGTCTTTTATTAACAAGGACAAAACATATACATCCCCTTTTAATATTCATATCTTGTACACTCACATACACAAATAGATATGCATATACTGTATATCACAAAACAACATGATAAAAGTCATTCATTCATTTATTCATTTCTTAATTCTTTTTTTAAAAAATATTTTTATTAAACATTTTTTTAAAAACCCGAGATATTAACACTTTCTTCTTTTCAACAGTTTCGCGTCGGTAATCCATATTTATACATTTTCTCTCTCTTATCTTAGTATATCTTTTATACATATATTTCTAATATATCATATATATACCATTATAATGTATTAAATTATTCTACTTGTTTTATTTACATTTAACATAAATGTGTACCCAATTTCCTTTCCACAATTTTTTATTTGTTCCCATTTGTTCCCATATTTCTCCTCCTAATTCAACCATTATTTAGTCCTCCCTTGTCCTTTTTTCCCTTTTCCTCTAACCATTTATACCATTACAATAGCAAGTACTTTATCTGAAGACCAAAAGTATTATTGCAAAACAAATACTAATGTATGCTGTTCCTTCAGTTTTTAATTTTATGATGACTTCTTATCAAATGATGAAATGATCATAGTGCTTGTAACATTGACATTTAGAACAGTGATTAGATTGATACTATATCTATTTTTTTCTTCTCTCTTATTCCTCTCTTATTCATATTTAATACTGTAGGGTATTTGCATAGAACGTAGTCTTACTGCATAAATAGAACTGTATAGAGAATACAAATTATACTACCACTGAGAAGACAGAGCAATAAATGGGCTAGCTGGCTAGATTTAATCATATGTTAATGGTTGACCTAGTTTTACACCAACATTTATGGATATATTATGAACCCTAATATATTTTATTAGCACCACAATATTGTTAAGTGTATTTTTTCATATATTTTGATGGTTATACTTACACATACACATACACACGTGTATATCCACATATATCCACACACATACTAGAAATATGGTCATAAACAAACAAACAAACAAAAAATAAATACTAAGTAGTTTTATCAAGAATCTTGACAACCAATATTTTGGTTCTTATCTGAGAGAAAATGTTAACATTTCCCTTCATTTCAGGTCCGTTACAATTTCCCCTCCCTGGTTTTGACAGACAGAAAACAATTCCCTTTTTTTTACTCAACGTTTCCCACAGAAACAAACGAGTATCTAGCGATCATCAAAATCCTCCAATATTTCAAGTGGACATTGATTGGACTCATTGCTGCAGATACAGAAAATGGAGAGAAATTTCTAAGGCTCTTCACACTCATACTTGACCAGAATGGTATTTGTGTTGTTTTCACAGAAACTGTTTCAGATAATTTCATGTTCTATCATAAGGATAAAGAAGTTGGTCTTTTCGACAAATGGAATCAAGTCAACATCTTAATTTATCATGCAGAGGTTACAAGTTTTGTGGAAGGATTTTCAGGTGTATTAAATTTCCTGATGAGCAAGGGGGGATATGTTGAAGATAAAGTTTGGATCATAACATCTATCTGGGACCTCACCTTCCGGATGTCACTGATTCCAAAGTTCAAGAACAAAAGCTATAGGATCTTTTCTTTACTTAGTCAGACAAATAAAAAAATAAATTGTGATCATCTTGAACAAGTTGAGTCTTTTACTGAGAGATTTGTAGAGCGAGTATATTCGTGTTCCTATTCAAAGCATGCCCTGTCTGTGAAAGGCTGGACAAGGTGCACAGAGAAAGGAAAATGGAGGCCAATGTCTCAAGAGTTGAGGGAAAAAATTCTGTCCCTGAATGGCTACCACATTTACCACACCGTCTGGACTGTTGCACATGCTTTATATGCAGCCTATTCTCTCCGGTCCCAGAGAAGGGCCACAAAGAACGGAAACAGACCAGGAGTTCAAACAGTGCAACCATGGCAGGTACTTTCCTTTTCCATCACCAAGATTTCTGCTCTTATCCTGTCTCTTATGTCTTAATTATGGAGATTTCCCTTAAACAAATTGTTACGTTTTTACCAGAGTTCATGAATAGGAGATTTCTATGTTCATAATCATGTTCACCTGGCAGAACTTCTATAGCTAGCAAATAAATAAATGCAAGAATTTGTGTGGTATCTGACTAATGTAAATACAAATATAATGATATAAATATAAATGAAATGAGGTAAAATCATATCCTTTAATGAACCCCATTTGGATAAATCTTCCTTTTTTTGTGCCCTATCTTAGAAAAATGCAGCCTAGTGGTTCAAATAATCATTTTATCACCTAACTTGTTGCCAGGTATTTGAATAGATCATTTGGAAATTTTGACAGATTTTGATTTGAATATAGCTGTTTCTTTTAATTTCCCTTTTTAATACCTTGAATTATAATGATCTTTCTGTACATAAAATTAAAGCTACATCACTTTGAGCCGAGAGGGTGGGACTGGTTCAGTCATTTAGGGAGTTTCCATCACTGATAGTGGAACAAGTAGCCAGTCTCCCATTTCTTAGTCCAACAGTTCCTCCACTAGTTCTGAATTTGCAGCTAAGCTACCACAGGAATATGATTTAATAATGGTTTTTTTGGCCTGTTCCCATAATATTCTTTTCATTCAGTCCATGAGTGGGAAAGTTTTAAGCCATGTTCAGCTTATTGGTGCTAAAATAGCCTTGCCACCTTCATTCTGAAACCATCTGTTGGCAGCTTCCACTTGTCTCAAATTTATTAGGCTGGGTCATCCATGACTTGCCTGAAGGGAAGTCAAGTTACTGAGAAATGACCGAGAGGAGAGACAAATGCCAAACTAGCATTGTTTTGTTCCAAATCAAGGATGGATAGGAAGATCTTCAGCTCAGCTCTGGAGAATTGTCCCTGCCCTTAGCCCCATGATTGAATTCCTGAATTACAGGAAGGTCATCTGTAGATTTGGGAGAATTTAGAATCTTGTTCCTGTTTTCTCCCATTAACTCATTTCAGTTTGCTGTTTTAGCTTCACCCTTTCTTGAATATCTCTCAGTATTACAACAATTCCATAGAGGGAGTCTATTTGGACGAGAAAGGGAATCTGGGAGCTGACTTTGATGTCACGTACTGGGTGAGGTTTCCCAATTGGTCTATTTACAAAATGAACGTCGGGATTCTGGAAAGAGTGGGATGCTCAGAAGACAAATTCAAATTCAGAATGGATCAGGAGGCAATCAAAAGGGCCGTGCAGGTCGATGAGGTGGGGAAGATAATTTCTTTCAGTTCCCCATATTGATGGTCTTGTTTAAAATCTCTGGCACTTTCCCAACCGAACCTCCCAACTGTATGTCACAAGGACACCTTCAGGCATAGAATTCAGGGATCCATTTGGGCTTATATTTGTTGTAGGAAATGGCAGATCCAGAGACATTCACCATGGCTCTTTGCAGGCTCTTGAGACATTCCTACCCCCAAAGAGTTTATCATGTGCCATGGAGTTTCACTACATCCTTTGTCAGATGCCCACAAGACAGTCACAGAAATTAAAAATGTTTTTGACTCTTTTCTTTTTTTTAAAAAAAGTTTTTTTTATTAATAATACAATTAAAAACATTGGATATAGTTTGACATTTCTGTCACATTTTATCTTACAACTAATACAATTCCTTTATGTTATACAAATATATACCTTGTTTCACAATTCAAACATGAAAATTCTTAATGTCTATAGAACTTACATTCATAACAATTTCATTCCTATCTCTTTCAAGAAACTAACATATAGATTTCTAAACTTTCAACTCATCAGTAATCCTTTATCCCGGCAATCTTCCTCCTCTCCAACCAATAGCATAATTTATTCCAAATTTCTGTTTCACTCTTACCTTTGAGTTCCAATGTCAACCTGTCCATTTCAGCACAAGTTAATATCTTAGGTACTACTACTGAGGGGGTTTCTTTATTTTTCCAGTTTTGTGCATAGGCCAGTCTTGCTGCCATTAGAATATGTAACATTAAGTATATTGTTTCCTTATTGTATTTATCTATTGTAATACCTAGTAAGAAAACTTCTGGCTTTAATTCTATATTTTGCATTAGCATTTCCTCCGGCCATTGCTTTATCTGGTGCCAAAAGTCTCTGGCTTTCGGGCATTCCCACCAGATATGATAAAAGGTCCCTAGCACCGCCTCACATTTCCAACGATGAATAATTTTTGCTCCTTTTGGCTAGTCTTGTAGGTGGGAGATGCCACCTATAGAACATCTTGTATAGATTTTCTTTATACGTAGTAGCTAAAGTAGGTTTTCTGTTCCTTTCCCATAGATCCTGCCAATTATTTAAGTCAATGCTATAGCCAAAATTATTGCTCCATTTTAACATGGTTTCCTTCACTTGTTCTTCAAACATAGCCTGCTCCAGTAGATATTGATATATTTTTCTAATTACCTTTTCCTCTGAACCTAATAAAATTCGGTCAAATTCCGTTGATTCTGTGTTTATGCCCCGTCCTTTTTTGTCTTTCTCTTGTGTCTCATTCAGTTCCGCAGGTTTAGATTCAGCAAATTAGACTTGGGCCAGCAGTTTGCTTGCGTCCTTCCATTTTAGGTCTCCTTTTCTAGGGACATCGGCTCCACCTATTTCACTGAATGCTCCTTTTCTTTATCTTCAGCCCCTGCCAAGTTCTCGGTGTGTGGATAGTTGCCAGCCTGGATTTGTCAGACTGCTGGACCCCTTGAAGCCAGCTTGTTGTTACAGTTGTGTTCCTTGTGCAGAAGGGACCATCTCCACTGAAGAAGGTAGGTGACTCCAGAGACAAATGTCCATGTCTTCTTATTTTTTAAATATCCATAATTATTTCTATCAGTTTAATTAGTTCTTAGATTATCTCACATTTTTATTTTTCCACAATTAGAAAGCAAGGGAGTACAATCCAAATTCATGTAAAAACAATCCATTTAATCATGTTTTAAAAACTTTCACCGCCCCTTCTCTTTGCAATATTGCTTTAATTAATCTCCTTTGGAAAGTAGTAACCTTGTTTTTCAATATTAGTGTCAGCCCCTGGGTCACCAGCCGCGCCGGGGCTGTCATTTGGACGGGGAACGGGAGCCGCCAGCTGGGACGCATGTCAACACCTGCCAAAACCCTCGCCGGAAGCCACGCCGACCAAAATGCTGCCAACAGCCTGCAAGCTGCACTGCTGTGCCATGCAGTGGGCATACACGCTGCCAAGCCCCTGCCAAATTGTGGTGAGGGCAGGCACTAGCCCTGATGAGTTTGCCGCAGCTACGGAGCCTGCAGAAAGCCAGCTGGGCTGTGGGCTTTGTAAAGAGCTGATGCGCTGTGGCCCAGATAGGCAGCAGAGCGCACGCAGGTGCAGGGAGCCTGACATGCCAGAAGCAAGCATGGCGTTTCAGATGAAACGCCCTGCAGCTGCAAGGACGCTGACAAAATGGTGGCGCGTGAGGGATGGGGATTATAGGGGGCGGGCCCCAGGGGGTGGAACCATGAGGGTGGGATAAAGGCTATTTAAAGGGTGGAGGGTTAAACCACAATAGCACTTACTTTGTTTTCCTTACTGTTTGGCACTCTGTGCCGGGTTTCCAGCTTGCTAGATAAAAAGTGCTCAGTTAACTTTCTTGTCTGAATTTCTTGTCTGCTGAACACCGGAACGTGACGATTAGGTTAATTGTTTTATGATCTGAATTTTTTTTTGTCTAGAATGCCTCAGAGACATTTGCATATCAAATATTAAACAGGAGATGAATATTTCAATTTAAAGAGCAGAAATCTCAATAGACACGGAAACTAATCAAGGAGAGAAGCAACCTAAAAGCTTGAGCAGGGGGTTGGTCTAGAAGTCCTCCAACTCTGTTATTCTGTTACTCTGATGTAGTATTTTGTGAAATCTGAGTCAATGGTAAATAGATTTCATCAGTTTTTACTTGGTGGGGAAAACTGCCTTTTCTCTATGAATGATACAGGTCATAGATCCAAGTATCTGAAATAAAAATAGCTTTCCAATATATCCAAATAATTCTCTTAAATATTCCCCACAATGTAACCTGAGTTTCTCAAAACAGTACAATTCCACATTTTCTGAATGTAATTCAAGATAAAGTTAACCTCTTTAACACTGAAAGATTTCCATACTAGTGAAGAAGGTGGATGTTGTATTTGTTCTTTGCAGATGCCAAACACTGTGTCAGATGCCCTGAGGACCAGCACCCCAACAATGATCATGACCAGTGTGTTCCTAAGATGATAGTCTTCCTATCCTACAAAGAAGATCTGGGGATCATCCTTACTTCTTTCACCCTACTTTTCTCTTTGATCACCTGCTTTGTTTTAAGCACCTTTGTTAAGTATCTGGAAACTCCAGTAGTCAAAGCCAACAACCGGGACCTGTCCTACCTGCTCCTTATTTCCCTCCTGCTTTCCTTCTTGTCTTCCTTCCTCTTCATTGGCCAGCCAAGGAGAGCCACCTGCCTCTTGAGACAATCAGCCTTCGGCATCATTTTCTCAGTGGCTGTCTCTTCTCTCTTGGCCAAAACCATTATGGTTGTGTTGGCTTTCCTAGCCACCAAGCCAGGAAATAGTGTGAGGAAATGGCTGGGGAAGCCTTTGGGCAATTCCATTGTTTTTTCTTGCTCTGTTGTTCAAGTTACGATCTGTGCCATCTGGCTGAGCACCTCTCCTCCATTTCCTGATTTGGATATGCATTCCCAGGCAGGAGAGATTGTCCTGCAGTGCAATGAAGGCTTAGTTGCCATGTTTTATACTGTGCTTTGCTATATGGGTTTCCTGGCAGCTGTTTGTCTGGTGGTGGCATTCCTGGCCCGGAGGCTGCCTGGGGCCTTCAATGAAGCCAAGCTGATCACCTTCAGCATGCTGGTCTTCTGCAGTGTTTGGATCTCCTTTGTGCCCGCCTACCTCAGCACCAAGGGCAAGTACATGATAGCTGTGCAGGTCTTCTCCATCTTGGCCTCCAGTGCTGGACTGCTGGGTTGCATCTTTTTCCCCAAGTGCTACATTATTCTTTTTCGACCTGATTTGAATAGAAAGGAGCAGCTCATTCTCAAAAGCTAAACAGAAATGTGGTTTTAAGTGTGTACAAATTAGAAGCACAAATGGACCCATTTTAGTTCCCCCAACCATTTGTAGACCGAATATGATAATTTTTTTTCGAGAAGCTCATTGTGTCTGTTTTCCACTTCGATTCTAAAGATCATCCAATTTCTTTAAAAAAAAAAACCTGTTCTTTTCAAGTTATTGTAGAATCAGAACTTTACATTTTTCCAAAAACAAAAAGATGTCAAAAGATGAAGGAAGAAGTAAAGAAATAACAATAAAGACCACTGTAGAAACCAGTCTCTCAGTGTTTTGTAAGAAATTGACTGTTGTTATCTGACTGTGTGTAGATCTGTGAGATACCTGAAACTTTTTATGCTGTCACATCAGATCTTTTGCATTCATTCTGCACATGATACCTTGAGCAGTCCCCCTCTCTCTCAGCCCTAGGAAGAAGAAGGCAATGGCAAACCAGTTCTGAAAAATCTTGCTAAGAAAACAGCACAAACTTGTTCAGTCAGTCTCTGAGAATCAGCCATAAATGAAACGGCGAACCTCTCCCTCAACAATTATTCATGGTTACATGGTAGGCTTGAGTTCTAAATCCAAAGTCTCCTTTTCCATGAATTATGTTGCTGAATTTGATGTATTCTTCCTTCAGGAAACCTGCTTGTTTATATGTGGATATAAGTCTTTCTCTCCAGAAAAAAAGTCTGCTAAATTTGGCTTAAATCTTAATGCTAAATTATTCCCCAATTGGGCCTTAGTCTCAAGTACTGAAATAAAGAAGTTTATAACCTTAAAGAGAATCTATAAAATGTTGTATAAAGGTAAAGGTAAAGGTTCCCCTTGCAAATATGTACTAGTCCAGTGGTGGATTTCAACCGGTGTTACCACTGTTTCGCTTCGCGCATGCACTTTATTCGCACACATGCCAGCCTTCCATTTCAGAACAGCTGAAGTGCAGAAATCCCGCTCTGCCGCACCTATCAGCTGGGCTAAAAATGAGCAAATATAGGTAGATATAGCACAGAGGTGGGCAGGAGGGCCCAGCTGATAGTTGGAGCGAACTGGTTCGCTCTCACCATCACCGCTACCGGCTTGCCCGAACCGGGGAGAACTGGTATCAACCCACCACTGTGCTAGTCGTTCCCAACTCTAGGGGGCAGTGCTCATCTCCGCTTCAAAGCCAAAGAGCCAGGGCTGTCTGAAGATGTCTCCGTGGTCATGTGGCCAGCATGACTAAATGCCAAAGGCGCACGGAACGGAACGCTGTTACCTTCCCACCAAAGGTGGTCCCTATTTTTCTATTTGCATTTTTTACATGCTTTCGAACTTCTAGGTTGGTAGAAGCTGGGAGAAGTAACGGGAGCTCACCCCGTTATGCAGCACTAAGGATTCAAACTGCTGAACTGCCGACTCTTTGATCGACAAGCTCAGCATCTTAGCCACTGAGCCACCACATCCCTAAAATGTATAAAGGGATATATAAATATGCAGGAAATGTAAAAAATCAAAAGGAACATTTTATTATCTTTGATGAACTTGTGAAAAAGCTAAGCAATACTAGACAGGAATACATATATTAATTAAAAAAATTGAGACTACTGAATCTAATTTAAACCAGGGATTTTCTTGTTAGGGTTGATGGAGAAAATGTTGGGAAAAATGCATGGTGTACGTTATTTTTAAACATGATAACAGCCAGCAAATCTGCTATTTGTTCAATGTTGGAAAGACAATGTGGGAAAGACGATCCTTAGTATGAAAGAATGGTTAGTAAAAGTGATGGAACTTGCCGGGATGGAAAATTGATAGCTCTCATTAGAAAAAAGACACTCACAAAATTTAATATTATTCAGAAGTTTTTTGTTTTTCTCTGTTTTTGCACAAAACAGAGAAAAACAAAAACAGAACACATGGATTGGATGATAAGTAGAATTTATGGATAGGTACTGATGGAAGCTCTAGTGCAGTGATGGCTAACCTTTTCCAGACCCGAGTTCCCAATGTGCGTGCGTGAATGTGTGTGCCTGAACCCCCCCAAATGCAATGCGTGCACGGCCTCCGCACATGTGCATGCAGCCCCCCACATGCCCCACCACCCCTGCACATGTGCGTGCCTCCCACGCACCTTGCCTCCCGCACATGACCTGCCCCCACGCATGCGCAGCAGAGACCCGAAGACCAGCTGGCTGATGGGAGGCACATGCACATATGTGGCGGACCTGAACTGGTGTGACGGCTTGCGTGCCATCAGAGAGGGTGCTGTGTGCCACCTCTGGCACGCGTGCCATAGGTTCATCATCACGGTTCTAGTGTAATATTAAAGTAAGGAGTGAACTAAAGTGTTAACTATCTTATATAGAAGGAGAAGAAGTTGAGAGCCACTTTTTTGTATATTTGTATATTTTTTTATATCTTTTACTATTTTTGCACTTCTGTCACCTATAGCTTTCCCCTCTCTTTTTTATGTATTTCTCTCTCTGATTGATGGCAAATGGAGGGGGCTTTTAAATAATAGTTTCAGTAACTAGGAATGTGTTTTATTAATGTTTCTAGTTCTTTGAAGTTTCCATGAGAAATGTGGATTCTGATAAGAACCGGTTCAACCTGCTAAAGGCAAGGATTGTACAAAATCTCACCACAACTTCCACTGAGTCCTTACAATAAAATAAAATTACCGTATTTTTCGGAGTATAAAACACACCTTTTTACCCCCAAAAAGTGGGTGAAAATCTGGGTGCCTCTTATACTCTGAATGTAGCCCCACCCACCCACCCACCAGCCCCCATCCTTTGGACATTTTCGGGCAGTTCCAGACAGCGAGGATATGGGTCGGGGCACAGCCTCAGGAACAACCCTCTTCAGGACGGTCTGGGGGGAGGGGGAATCTGCCTGGCAGCTTTGGGGAACAAGTTTGTGGCTGGTCACCCCTCTGGCTGCCCAGCAGGCAGCTTAGGGCAGACAATGGTCGCAATGACTTCACTCCCCAGCAATGTGAGGAGCTGTAGCTGCTGCTGCCTAAGCCCTCTCCGTGCCCAGGAGCCGAGCAAGCCAAACGGGAGTTCCTAAAGTGAAACGTCCCTCCTCTCCAGCCACCGCTGCCCGGATTCCCCAATGCAATTCTCAGAGCTGCGTTTCAGGCGGCCAGGGGCCAGTTCCCCTGCAATGTGCAGCAGGGAACTGGGAACCGTTTTGGATTCGGGGAGGGGATTGCAGCGCTGCCGCCTGAAAGTGCTTTTCTTCCCATTGCATATTGCAGAGCCATGCGCCCTTGTCCTCCTTCTCAGCAGACTCACCTTCTCTTTCCTCCTGGCCAGATCCACCGCCTGAAATGTGATGCACTTTTTTTGCCTCTGCACACCCTATGTTTGGAATCGGGAAGGGGATGGGGGTCTGTTGCCCGAAAATGCTTTCCTTTGGAATCCTGATGCCAAAGGAAAGCGTTTTCGGGTGGCAGACCCGCGATCCCCTTCCCGATTCCAAACATAGGGTGTGCAGAGGCAAAAAAAAGTGCATCGCGTTTCAGGTGGTGGATCTGGCCAGGAGGAAAGAGAAGGTGAGTCTGCTGAGAAGGAGGACGAGGGCGCGCGGCTCTGCAATGTGCAATGGGAAGAAAAGCACTTTCAGGCGGCAGCGCTGCAATCCCCTCCCCGAATCCAAAACGGTTCCCAGTTCCCTGCTGCACATTGCAGGGGAACTGGCCCCTGGCCGCTTGAAACGCAGCTCTGAGAATTGCATTGGGGAATCCGGGCAGCGGTGGCTGGAGAGGAGGGACGTTTCACTTTAGGAACTCTCGCTCGGCTCCTGGATGCTGAGAGGGCTTAGGTAGCAGCGGCGGCGGCTCCTCACATTGCTGGGGAGTGAAGTCATTGCGACCATTGTCTGCCCTGAGCTTCTCGCTGGGTGGCCAGAGGGGTGACCAGCTGCAAATTGTAGTGCCCACCTTGTTCCCTGAAGCTGCCAGGCAGATTCCCCCCCCAGACAGTCCCAAAGAGGTTTGTTCCTCAGGCTGTGCTCTGTCCCTCCCCCCAGAGCATGCGAGGGGTCTCTTTGAGGGAAAGTGAGTAGTCCCTGCAGATCGCAGAAGCACCCTGATAAGTTTTCTGGAAAAGAACTTATCAGTAATTGACGCCCTCTTTCCCAGCCGAGTCTCTGAGGCTCCTCTTGCTTGCAGGAGGAGGAGGAGGGCGGCAGCATAAAGCAGCGCCACCTTAATGCTGGTAGGCAGAGGTAGAATTCTTGTTTTCTTATTTTCCTCCCCCAAAATTGAGGTGCGTCTTATACTCCGGTGCATCTTATACTCCGAAAAATATGGTACCTCCCCAAGTCTTGTTTCCTCTCTAGTTTATCTGGGATGGTTTAACAATGACATTCTGGGGAAAAAAACACAGCTGTTTATGCTTGCACAGTATGTGAAGTCTTAAAACATCGTTACAGATTTCTGAGTTGAAAGAACACTTGAGCGCTCAATAGAGAAAGAAACTATAACATGACTTCACAAGTCATTGGAATCCAATTATAATATTTCACAGTGATGCTTGGATGGTGTTTGTGTTTGTTTGATTATTTATTAAATTGCTATGCCATCCCTCCAAAGTGACAAGTAATATTTATTGATAGCCTCATTTGATTTTAACGGGCAATCTCTCAAAAGGTGATGTGAGATGTTTTTTACAAATCCAGGAAATAAAGGAGAGATCTCCCATGTATTTGAGAAAAGGCAGAGGATGTGATGGTCTTTGGTGTTTATGGTCAAGTTTATAGTTGATGGATGGTGGATGAAATGCACCATCTTTAAGTCCTTCCTTTGTCCCTTTGGAAGGCCTCCAGCAACTCACTGGAGAAAGAAAGGTCACCCTAGCATTGCATCTCATAAAAAATGATCTGGAGTTTGATTTTTATTATGATATATCACCCAAAATGGCAACAGCCATAAGAATTGCATCAGCAACTTCACCTGTGCCCATGAGATCACCCAGAAGTTTCAGAGATGACGTTTTCCAGTACAATTAGTCGTGTCTAGGTTGTCTTCTCATTAATTCTCCAGATATTTCCCCCAATGATTGCCTTCAGGGTAAACAACAGACTGAGAGCAACATGATTTGATAAGTTGTGCCAGAATCTGTGACTGTTTTAGTACCTTCTTTGCCACTTATTGTTGAGGAGGATATATGGGGCGAGAAGTTACTTTTATCCCCTTCAAATATAAAATCTTGGCTGAGCTGCTGAATAACAGAAGCCACAGAAAATTTAGTCCTTTATTCTGAGGTGTATTTGATAAGTGCAAGTGACTAAA